TCGACTCACCGAAACCTCCACCTCCCGGGGCCAAGCTGTTCTCCTGCTCAGCCTCCTGAGTAGCTGGGACTACAGGCGCCCGCCACCACACTCGGCTAATTTTTTTGTATTTTTAGTACAGACGGGATTTCACCATGTTAGCCAGGATGGTCTCGATCTCCTGTCCTTGTGATCCACCCGCCTCGGCCTCCCAAAGTGCTGGGATTACAGGCGTGAGCCGCCGCGCCCGGCCATAATTTTTGTACTTTATTGGTAGAGTCAGGGTTTTGCCATATTGGCCAGGCTGGTCTCGAACTCCTGACCTCAGATAAGCCGTCTGCCTCTGCCTCCCAGAGTGCTGGGATTGTGTGAGCCATCATGCCTGGCTACAGCCTTTTCTTGTTTCTTTTTTTTTTTTTTCAGGTAGGTTCTCTGTTGTTTTTTTTAATGCTAGAGTGCAGTGGCGTGATGTCTGCTCACTGTAGCCTCAACCTCTTAGGCTCAAGTGATCCTCTCACCTCAGCCTCCCTATTAGCTGGCATTACAGGCTTATGGCCCACACTGGCTAAATTTTTATTTTGATTTTTTATTTATTTTTTTTTCCGAGAGTCTTGCTCTGTCACCCAGGCTGGAGCGCAGTGGCACGATCTCTACTCACTGCAACCTCTGCCTCCCCGGTTCAAGTCATTCTCCTGCCTCAGCCCCTCGAATAGCTGGAATTACAGGCGTGCACCATCATGCCCAGCTAATTTTTGTATTTTTAGTAGAAATGGGGTTTCCCCATGGTGGCCCGGCTGGTAATTTTTTATTTTTTGTAGAGGCAGGATTTCTTCTGTTGCTCTGTGTGGACAGGAAGCTTAGTTTGTTTCTCTGATCGTTAGTCCCCTGCAGAATTTTAACGCAATTCGGTATTGAGGACACTTTCTGTTGCGTGAGACAATATTCCAGATCTCTCTGGGTCCTCTGGATTCAAAGGATCCTCCTGCCTTGGCCTCCCGAGTAGCTGGGACCACAGGTGTGCGTCACAGCCCAGGGTCTCTAGCACAAGCCTTGTTCTCCCATCCCCAGACTTGGGAGACCGTGCAGCCACACACCGGGGCAGGGTTCCAGACATCACGGTGGGGCGGGAGTGACACCACCGGGGCAGGGAGGGCCAGGACGTTGCTCACGCTGGCTGGTGGCCCCTTGGCATTGGCCACACACACTCTGCCCACGGGAATCTCACTCAAGGGTCTGATGGGCCAGCTTCTGTCTCCACCACCGTCCAGAGGCCTCCGGGGTGAGTGGGAGGCCGCAGCCCTGGCCGGGTGAGCAGAGCCGCCCCTGTGCGTGGCCACTTGTCCTTTCTCACCGCGGTCCACGTGGAAGCCAGGGCAGAGGAGGGGCCTGCCCACTGCTCCCCTGCCCCCAGCAACCCCCACCGTGGCTGCCACATCTCGCTTCCGGACAGTTTTCTTGGCCCATCCCTGAGAGTTTCTTTCTTTCTTTTCTTTTTTTTTCTTTTTGAGACGGAGTCTCGCTCTGTCGCCCGGGCTGGAGTGCAGTGGTGCGATCTCGGCTCACTGCAAGCTCCGCCTCCCGGGTTCACGCCATTCTCCTGCCTCAGCCTCCCGAGTAGCTGGGACCACAGGTGCCCACCACCGTGCCCGGCTAGTTTTTTTTTGTATTTTTAGTAGAGACGGGGTTTCACCTTAGGACACTTTCTGTTGCGTGAGACAATATTCCAGATCTCTCTGGGTCCTCTGGATTCAAAGGATCCTCCTGCCTTGGCCTCCCGAGTAGCTGGGACCACAGGTGTGCGCCAAGAGACGGGGTTTCACCGGGTTAGCCAGGATGGTCTCGATCTCCTGACCTCGTGATCCGCCCGCCTCAGCCTCCCAAAGTGCTGGGATTACAGGCTTGAGCCACCACGCCCGGCGTCTTTTTCTTTTTTTTGAGTCAGAGTCTTGCTCCTGTCGCCCAGGCCGGAGTGCAGGGGTGCGATTCTCCTGCCTCGGCCTCCAGAGTAGCTGGGACTAAGGCGCCTGCCACCACGCCCGGCTAATTTTTTATTTTTGGTAGAGACGGGGTTTCACCATATTGGCCAGGCTGGTCTTGAACTCTTGACCTTGTGATCCACCTGCCACAGCCTCCCAAAGTGCTGTGATTACAGGTGTGAGCCACTGTGCCCAGCTGGGAGTTTATTTCTTAGATGTATGTTAACTTCAGCCGAGGCTCCTGTGTGCCTCTGTTTCATGGCCTTTGAGCGTCGCCCTCCTTTACTGAACGTGGTCCCTGAAGCTGCAGGGACGGTGCAGGGTCAGGTGTTCAGGCCAAGTGTCCAGCGGGGGCGGCTGATTCTAGGCATAGCAGGTCCTCTTCGCCTGCCCTGCCCTGGACCCTCTCTTGGCCCACTTTTCTGGGTAAATTTCAGGCCCCCATGGCCAGTTGGGGCCCTAGTGTGGGTCAGGCCCTCAGCCTGGTGCTGCCTTCCGCCCGGGCTGAGTCTTTCGTTTCTTCCTTTGTGGGTTCAGTGTTGAACGCTTTGCGTCAATGGGACTCCTGCTGCGGGGCCTGGGTGGTGCAGGTGTTGTCGGGAAGATGGGACAGGTTTCCGTTCTGATGGCGCCTCTCTCCCCTTCCTCCCGCCCGGCAGTACTTAGGTTCTTCCTTCAGAAAGGATTTCCCATGACTTGAAGAGCAGGCTCTCACACGCAGGCCCGAAACCTGCTCAGCCTCCCCGTGGCCCTGAGCATGTCTATTGAAGGCCCCGCCTCGCCCGCCAGCGGCTCCTGCCCTCCCACCTTGCTCTGAGCCTTTGCCTCGTGCGCACTCACTGGCCCCGTGGGTTTGCTGCTGGAGTTCAGGTGGGACCTTGTGTCCCTGTGAGCTCATGGTTCTTGTTCTTGTTGCCGAGGCTGGAGTACAGTGTCATGATCTCAGCTCACTGCAAGTTCTGCCTCCCAGGTTCAAGCTTCTCCTGCCTTAGCCTCCTGAGTAGCTGGGATTACAGGTGCGTGCCACCACGCCCGGCTAATTTTGTACTTTTGGTAGAGACGGGGTTTTACCATATTGGCCAGGCTGGTCTCAACCTCCTGACCTCAGGTGATTCACCCGCCTTGGCTTCCCAAAGTGCTGGGATCACAGGCGTGAGCCACTGCGCCCGGGCTTTTTTGTTGTTGTTGTTGTTGTTGTTTTCCACGGGGAGTCTCACTTGGTCGCCCAGGCTGGAGTGCAGTGGTGTGATCTCGGCTCACTGCAGCCTCCGCTGCTCAGGTTCAAGCAGTTCTCATGCCTCAGCCTCCCAAGTAGCTGTAGCTGAGATTACAGGTGTGCGCAACCCCACCGTCCTAATTTTTGTATTTTTAGTAAAGATGGGGTTTCACCATATTAGCCAGGCTGGTCTCGAACTCCTGGACCTCAGGTGATCCATCTACCTTGGCCTCTCAACGTGCTGGGATTACAGGCTTGAGCCACCGTGCCCGGCCTCGAGCTCTTCTTTCCGCAGACTTTGATTCTCAGCGGCTAAAGGACTAAGTTCCCCAGAGATGGACCTGGGTGTCGTAACTGCTTCCAGGGGCCTCAGGGACACAGGTGGGACCCCGATGTGCAGGAAGAGACGCACATCAGGGCTGGGTGGGTGACTCCCACGCTGTGGGACCCCGATGTGCGCGTCGGGGGTGGGTGACTTCCACACTGCTGACAGTGACAGGAACCAAGGATGCAGCTCAGGGTCAGATGCCTTTTCAAGTTAAACCTTAGATCAGCCCCTTCAGTGTATCACAGAAACTGTTTTTGCTGCCCAGGAAGGCGAAGGCCGTTGAGTTCACTCGGAATTCCTGAGTCAGCCAGGCTGTTTCTGTGAAAGTGGTTGCTTGTCCCCGACCACCTGGAATGGCTCAGACCACGGAGCTCATCTTTGGGGTCCCAGTCTCTCTTTTTGGGGCAGTGAGCCCCTTTCCTTGGGAACCCCTGAGGCCAGGCATGGCCACTGTGAATGGTGGGAGGGTGCTCCACCCTGAGGACCCCAGAGGCTCCTGTGGCCCCTTCCTGGGACTGCTGGGGCCTGTGTGTGTCAGCGTTCGCCCAAGGCCCCCTTTCAGCTGGGCTGGATGCCGAGTGCCTTCAGGCCTCATCCTGCCCTCCACCGTCCTGTAGGCAGTGAGGCTATGGCACCTCCCTCCTCGACTGTCTTGCCCTGTTGGTCTTTGTATCAGTGTTTTCCAGCCCGATTGCTGCTGAAGCTTCATTTCTTTTTCTTTTTGAGACAGAGTCTTGCTCTGTTACCCAGGCTGGAGTACAGTGTCACAATCTTGGCTCACTGCAACCTCAGCCTCCCGAGTAGCCGGGATTACAGGCACGTGTCACCACGTCTGTCTAATCTTTGTATTTTTAGTAGAGACGGCGTTTCTCCATGTTGGCCAGGCTGGTCTCGAACTCCTCGACCTCAGGTGATCCGCCCACCTCGGCCTCCCAAAGTGCTGGGATCACAAGTGTGAGCCCCCGGCCCGGCCTGAAGCTTCCTTTCTTTGGGTTTCCAGTGTTATGACTGTTGTGGCTAAGCTAGACTTGGGACTTGGTTTCTGGGTGTGCTTTGCCTCTGCTGAGGGCTGAGGTTTCAGAGCCAGCATCACTGCCTGGGGAGCAGAGGGCGGAAGGAGGTTCCGCCTGCGGACACACAGTGACTGAGGCCAGGGGCAGCTCGGGCCGCGCCAGCGGCAAGGGAAGAGGTCTGGGTAGAAGGCTTCAGATGCTGGGGGGAGGGGTGGGGGCGTCCTGCAGGCCTTGGGTCTTTTCGCAGAGTTGGGGCTCAGCGAGGAGCAAGCGCCTGCCATCGCCCGCTTTGTTTTCTGTGGGACCTGCTAGGACAGTGAGGCCCCTGGCTCACCAGGGCATGGCTCACCCCCTACAGCTGCCCAGGCCTGCGTCCCGGCTGCCCCTGCTGTGGGGCAGGGAAGGGGGCTGGGTGTCGAGGACACAGGCACTTGTAGGCTTCATACACAGATGCCTTTTCTCTGACGTTCCTTAACTCCCATGTGTAGCTATACACAGAATGGGATTTTACATATGCTGGACAGAAATAAGAGAATCAAGCCCCGACCAGAAAGGTTCCAGAACTGCAAAGACCTGTTCGATCTGATCCTCACTTGCGAAGAGAGAGTGTATGACCAGGTGGTGGAAGGTGAGGAGGTGGCTGTGCTGGGCTGGGCCCCAGCAGCTCTCACAGGGTCTGGGGATGCCTGCGGGGCCCCACCCTGACCAGCACAGCCCATCTAGAGCGGCGGGGGCGGGGCCAGACCTGTGTGCAAAACACCCTGGGAGGCGGGCAGGGCCGCTGGTCACTGACCCACCCGTGTGCGGGGCCAGACCTGTGTGCAAAACACCCTGGGAGGCAGGCAGGGCCGCTGGTCACTGACCACCCGTGTGCTGGCTGCAGCCTTTCATGGGCTTGAGGGGCCTGTTTTTTGTTTGGTGTTTTTTTTTTTTTGAGACAGAGTCTTGCTCTGTCACCCAGGCTGGAGTGCAGTGGCGCGATCTCAGCTCACTGCAAGCTCCGCTTCCCGGGTTCAGGTGATTTTCCTGCCTCAGCCTCCCGAATAGCTGGGACTACAGGTGTGAGCCAACACGCCCAGCTAATGTTTGTATTTTTAGTAGAGACAGGGTTTCACCATGTTGGCCAGGATGGTCTTGAACTCCTGACCTCAAGTGATCCACCTGCCTTGGCCTCCCAAAGTGCTGGGATCACAGGCGAGAGCCACCGCGCGGGGTCCATTTTTCACGCGGGTCGACCCTCGAGCTGGCGTGGAGCAGAGAGGGCTGGTCTTTAATGGCGGGGAAGGGCTGCAATGCCAGCTGCGCTTCACTCCAGGACTGGCTGGTGGGTGGGGAGTCCCAGACCAGCTTTTGCTGAGTTGGAGATTTGCTGAGGTTTCCTCGAACCATCAGCTGCCTTCGGTTTGAGGCTCAGTCTTTGTGCTCCCCAGTCTGCAGAGTCCAGAAACCACCGGGGCTGGGCTGGGCCAGGGGCCGGCAGAGCCAGGGACTCAGCCACATTGACTGCCTGTTCCCTGGTTCTGGAGCCTCTGACGTCTGTGTCACCTTGTCCCAATCAGATCTGAATTCCAGAGAACAGGAGACCTGCCAGCCTGTGCACGTGGTCAACGTGGACATCCAGGACAACCACGAGGAGGCCACCCTGGGGGCGTTTCTCATCTGTGAGCTCTGCCAGTGTGTGAGTACCCAGTGGGCGCCCTGTGGAGCCGAGGCCGTGACAGAGGGGCATGGCCGAGGCCGTGACAGGGACGTGGCCAAGGCCGTGACAGAGGGGCGTGGCCGAGGCCGTGACAGGGACGTGGCCGAGGCCGTGACAGAGGGGCGTGGCCGAGGCCGTGACAGGGACGTGGCCGAGGCCGTGACAGAGGGGCGTGGCCGAGGCCGTGACAGAGGGGCGTGGCCGAGGCCGTGACAGGGACGTGGCCGAGGCCGTGACAGAGGGGCGTGGCCGAGCCCGTGGACAAGGGAACTGCCGAGGCCGTGACGGGGGCTGGCCCGAGGGCCGTGGACAGGGGCGTGGCCGGGTCCGTGACAGGGGGCGTGGCCAGCCGTGAACAGGGGGCCGTGGCCGAGGCCCCCTGACAGAGGGGCGTGGCCGAGGCCTGAGGCTGGCCCTGCTGCTTGGGGCGGGGTCTCTGCTCAGCTCGCTTGTGTCAGGGGTGCCCGCTGGTAGTTTAGAGTGAGTCACTCCCCAGCCTTGGCACAGGAGCCCCCCGCCCATGCCCTCTGCGCAGCGGAGACGTGCTGCGCAGTGACCTGCCCAACACGGGCTTAGTCCGCCTCCCAGGACACAGGCTCCAGGGAACGCCTGGTACTTTGCCTCTTCCCCTTGGTGGACACAGCCCTGCTTCAGCGAGCAGAGCACGGAGCTCTCCTGGCTGTGGTGCGGTCGGAGATGTGCCCCACGTGAGCCTGGAGGCTGCCAAGGGCGCTGTGTCCGCCGTCCACCCCTGGACTTGGCCTTCTGCACACCCGCCTTCCCCCGTGGGCCCTGCGTGTCCCCCTTGCACAGAGGGGCCAGGGGCACCCCAAGGCTTCTGTCGCCACCCTGCTGTGGCATGGAGGGGCTGGGCTGAGATGAAAGGACCTGCCTGAGGAGAGCCCCACGTACCGTCCCGCCTCTGCCTCTGTGATCCGTGATTTGATCAGCTGTGAAAAACAGGACATTTCACCGAGAGAAAACGGGGTTTGAAAAGCCCAGGAGCCAGCGCTGGGAGAAGCTGCCGTGTGGCTGCAGGCGCCTGCGCTCTGCCCACCCCTCATGGCTCCCGGTCCCCGCATGGCTCCCGGTCCAGCGTGGATGTTGAAGCGCCAGGGATGGTCTTCACGATCGCCTGGCAGGAGAAAAGGCCACGGGGAAAGTCTCGTCCCAGAAGTTGTTGTGTGATTTCTGCTTGGGTCATGTTGGCCAGAGCTGAGTCACAGGCCACTCCTTGCTTAGAGGCACTGGGTGCTGTCCCCGGCTGGGGACCAGGGTCAGTGGAGATGGCGAGTAACGAGCTGCCAGTGCCAGGGCAGGTGTGCTCAGGAGCCGGGTCTGCTCACTGCAGGGCAGCAGCCCTCAGCCAGGGGCTCTGGTGGATGGAGGCCAGGATGCTGCCAGGACGCTCCAGTGACCAGGCTGCCCCCACCACAGGGCATGGGTCAGGGTCCTCTCTGGGTCTCTGGGCACCGCACCTTTCCCTGCCCCCGTTTGCTCGTTGGCGGTGAGGGCGCGCTGGCGGTGAGGGCTGGTCGGCCCCGCTGTGCGCGTGTGGGCCTGAGTCCTGGCCTCCAGGTCTCAGTGCTGGGCGCCTCTCAGAATCCAGCTCCACGCTCCTCCCGGCTTCAGGTTCTGTGAGGGTCGGTGGGGAGGTGAGGGCCTGGGGCTGCCCAGGAAGCTCTCCCCTTGCAGCCTCCAGCCATCCTGGGGAGGCAGCAGTGGTGGGGTGAGGGCCTGCCCGCCACCCTGGTTTTTGCTGGCTCAGGCCTGGCGTTTCCCTGGCGACCCAGGTGTTGAGGGGAGCAGACAGGCGGGAGTGGGCAAGGCCCTCACCACGGCGCTGTCCTTGCAGATCCAGCACACGGAAGACATGGAGAACGAGATTGACGAGCTGCTGCAGGAGTTCGAGGAGAAGAGCGGCCGCACCTTTCTGCACACCGTCTGCTTCTACTGAGCCCGGCGCCCGCCTGGAGCCGCCTGGAGCCGCCTCGAGCTTCCTGTTCATACTTTTTCCTCCCTGACTTTGGTTTTTACTTACAGGTGTTCCGCTGGTGACGGTAGCATTACCCGAATAAACTGTGCATATGAAATGGGAGAGGAGATGCCAGAAGGCCAGATTAAAGCAATCAAGTTTTTTCTTTCCCACTTTTACTTATGAGCGGGATATTGATTATAAAGTGTTTCTTCTTTAACCAGAAAGGAAAGACGATGGTTTGTGTGCACTTCCCGACGTACCTGTGTCTCCATGTGCCTGCCTTCCCTCCCTCCTGCCCACCCGGCTGGACTGTACACAGCCCTGCTGCGGCGTGTTGGGAATGACCTGGAATTGTCAATAAACAGATGCTGCTGTCATTGTGCCTGGTCCTGAATTCCTGACCCGACCTCGCGCCTGAGGAGGTGGCAGAGGCCCTGCCGCCTTCAGTGACCTCCGATCACTGCTGGGGGGTGTAGCTCAAACCTGGTGCTGCTGACGGGGCCTGGGCCAACCCCTGCCTGTGCTGCTTGAAGCAGAAGCCGGCTGCTCCTTCCAGCACTGCTGCCTGTGGCAGGGCGGTGTCCCCTCTCCACGTGGAAACCCCCGGGCCGGGATCAGCTGTCCCCCAAGGCCAGCTGAGCCGGGAGGATTGAGGCTGCAGTGAGCCTGGATGGCGCCCAGTCCCAGGCTGGGTCCCAGGCATAGCTTCCTGCTGACTTACTGCTCGAAGGGAGAGGGTGGCTTCCTGGGTCTGAAACATGGTCTCACTAGTTGTGGATGAGAGTTTGGCCTCAGGACCCTGAGCCAGGAACGGCCAGAGCTGAGTGGTGGCCACTTGGGGCCTCTGAAGGGCAGGTGTCCTGACCCATAGGCCTGGGCTGACCCCTCTTCCCTGCCCTAAGGGAAGCCTGTGTGAGGTATCCCTGCCCACAGCTCCTGCGCCGCTTCTCTCCATTGAGGATTCCAGGGGTCATCCCGTCCCTGCCCTGTGACCCCCATCTCTGGCCCCACGGCCGTGAGGTTGTCACGACCTTGCAGACCCCACCCGGGAGGCATGTGCTTTCCAAGCGGGCTGGTGCAGCCCCGCAGCCGGCGACCTGGGATTCCAGGAGGGAGGGCGGCGCAGTGGAGCGGGGAGGGCCTCGGCGCCCCTCCAGGACCGGATCGTGTTGGGACTGGCGTCCAGGATCACTGGACAGGCCACCGGGGCTGGGTCTGACCAGACTGGGGCGGGGCACGAAGCCGAGGTTCCCGGAGAGGGGTCCCGGCCGGCGTCCTGGGGGTGGTGGTCCCCTCCCGGCTCCGGTGCTGGCACGGGGCGGCCTGCGGGCTGCGCGGTCCCTCCCGGGAGGCGGAGGAAGGCGGCGAGGAGGGAGGAGGGAGGAGGAGGCAGGGAGGGGGCCGGAGCCGAGCAGAGCCGAGCCGAGCCGAGCCGAGCGGAGCGCGGGGAGGACCCGAGGGCGGAGCGGAGCGCGGCGGGCAGGGCCGAGCGACCCCAGAGAGGCCCCGCGTCCCTCCTCGGTGCCCCCCCCCGCGCCTCCTCCTCCCGGCCGGCGCCGGGGTTGCCGCGAGCGGCGGCGGAAGACCCAGGGAAGCGCTGACCTCTGCGGAGGCGGCGGGGGCTCAGCATCGGGCCGGGGCCGGGGGGGCGCCGGGGCCGGGGGGCGGCGCTCCGGCCCGGCCCGGCCCCGCCCGATGTCCATGAGCGCGAACACCATGATCTTCATGATTCTGGGGGCGTCGGTCGTGATGGTGAGCGGAGGGGCTTCCCGCGCGCGCCCCCTGCTCCCCGCCCGCGCGCGCCGCCTGCCCCCACCTCCTGCTCCTTGTTTACCGCCCGTGCGGCCTGCGCTCCCCTCCCCGGCCTGCGCTCCCCCGAACCCGACCTGCGCTCCCCTCCCCAGCCTGCGATCCCCACACCCCCTGCGCTCCCCTCCCCGGCCTGCGCTCCCCCCACCCCGGCCTGCGCTTCCCCCTTCCCGGCCTGCGCTTCCCCTCCCGGGCCTGCGCTCCCCCCAACCCGGCCTGGGCTTCCCTCCCCAGCCTACGCTCCCCTCACCCCGGCCTGCGCTCTGGCTCCCCGCCTGCGCTGCCCCGACCCCGGCCTGCGCTGCCCCCACCTGCCCTGCGCTCCCCATCCCCAGCCCCCGTTCGTCCCGCCCGCTCCTTGGCGCTGACCGGTCATGGGCTCTTCCAGGCCATCGCGTGCTTGATGGACATGAACGCGCTGCTGGACCGATTCCACAACTACATCCTCCCGCACCTGCGGGGCGAGGACCGCGTCTGCCACTGCAACTGTGGCCGGTGAGTCCGCAACCGGCGCCGGCTCGACACGCGTGAGCGCACATGTGTGGCGGGGCCCACTCGGGGCGCGGGGGAGCCAGCCCCACGCAGGCCGCGATCCGCCTTCCACCCTTGAGGGCTGCCAGGTGCGCAGGGGGAGGAGCTGGCTCAAGGAGGGGGTCTCCTGGGGGCGCATGGCTTGAGGACACCATCCCCTAGAGGCCTCCAGGGTGATGGCGGAATGGGTCACGGGGCCTCCTGGTCCAGCCTGGAGGCCGGGAAGCCGCAGCCCAGTCTGATGTCCACAGTGGAGACCCAAGCCAGCCTCATCAGGGCTGGGGCAGGAAGCGCCTGCTGGCACAGGGCTGGGCCCTGCAGTGAGTCCCAGGGCAAGGGAATGCAGGTCAAGGTGGGAAGGGCCTGCCTTGAGGGATACTGGGCACAACCCCCTGGCTGGAGAGGAGCTGAGGGATGGGCTGGGGGTCAGCGGGGAGGCGAAGCTTCCTCAAGGTCACTCAGATTGAGGGGAGCGCCCAGATCCCCCACACCCACTGTGTGATCCCCTCTGTGCACGTGTAGTGATGGAATCTTCTTGGCCATGCATGTTTGTACGTCCATGTACGAAATAAACATCTTCTCATGAGACGCGCATGTGTGTGGCGTCTGTGCATATATACATGTGCGTACACACAGCGCCCGCGCACGCACGCATGCACTCCCATCCCTCAGGACACCCTCACGCAGTGGCTGCTGTTAACCCTGCTGGACAGATGAGGAAGTGGACGGAGGATTTAGAGGACAGGCTTTTCCAAGGTCACACAGCTAGTGAAGGACAAAGGGGCACCAACCCAGAACCCGTGTTCGTCATCTCTGCTGCCTCCTGCTCCGGGGGTCTCTGTGCATACGTGTGGGCGCAGGGCATGTGTGTTCAGGACAGCTGCATGTGTTGCTAAGCGTGTTACATGCCTATGGGTGCAGCAGGTGTGTTGATGAAGAACACGGGTGTTAGAGAAGGCAGAGATCGGGGTGTCTGTGACCCTCACGTGTGCCGGGCACAGGGTGGGGGGTAAGAGCTTGTGGGGTGGCCACGTGCTACCAGGGAGCCCTGTGTCCCTGTCTGGACGATCCGACTGCTGAGCAAAGGCCTGAGGTTGGCTCCATGGCCTCCTGGAGGCTGGGCCCAGACGGGAGCTCCAGGGCATCAGAAAGGGGCGGCCTCCGTGTGCGTGGGCTGGGGCCGTGTGCATCCACCTGTGGCAGCACACTGAGGGATCGGCAGGGCAGGCAGAGGGCGCCTTAGAGCATTTGCACAAGGCGTGTAGGTGCAGCTCATGCAGCTCATGTCGTGTCCAGAGCACGCGTGGACTCAGGTGGAGTGCGTGCTGAAGGCAGCTGGTGTGTGGGAAGCAGAGCCACAGCCTGCTGTAGACGGTACTGCTGTGTGTGTGTCTGTGTATCTATGCTCTGTTCACATCTCTACATACAGAATATGTACATTCAGCGTACAAAGTGCCCTTGTATATTGACAACATATATGTGTATGCAAAGTACATGTATGTCACAATATACAGTGCAGTGTGCTCAGGGACATGTCAATATGTCTCCATGTGGGTGCAGCCAGTGTGTGTGCAGACAACCGTTTTGCACATGGAGTATCTGCGTATACACCATGTCCATGCACTGCCATGAGAGGCTCCCCGTGTGTACACGCTGGTGTGCAGAACGGGTGTGTGTACATGTGTAGGCCTTGTACGTGCCTATACGTAGACGTTGACATGGAGAACGTGTATGGAAATCAATGCTCCAAAGTCTGTTGCCAGGCAGCGTCCAAATGAGACATCCGTCCATGCACGTGACGTGGCGCCCCGTGGAGAGGGCGGCTGCGTTTTGCAAAGCCAAGCGAACATGCACTCGCGTGTGACACACCGTGCACAGGGCGGGGGTGTGGAGCTCCTGGGGTCCATGTCCACAGTATCACGCCATGTCCTGTGCATGTGGCTGGTGTGTATACATGACGTACATTGGGCCTCAGGTGGACACATGCAGCATGTGTGGTGCAGGCAGGACACACGTATGTACATGTCACAGACATACGTGTGCAGATAGCACATCTCTGCCCAGGCCTGTCTCCTGCTTTCACTTGGGAGACCTGAGCCCCCCAGGAAGGAGGGCCAGGTGCAGGGGGGGGAGAAACTACAGGTACCCAGGACAGCCATGGCGGGGGACACAGGCTGTGACCTCTGACTCCCAAAGTTACTGAGCCCCTGGGGTGGGTGAGGACTCAATCAGGGGTCAGGAACAGCTTCCTCCCCTGCGGGCCTCTGGCAGCTGCACATTCTAGGCAGTGGTCATCAGCTGCCCACCGAGGATGATGGCTGTGGACAGGCTCGTCACCAGGTCATTGGTGGCCACCAGGGATCAGCCACGGTCATGGTCACTCCTCACCGAGAGCCCTGCCACTGGGAGTGGCCAGTTGCCCGATATGCTGAGGGGACTGACCTCCGGGAAGCCCAGAAGAGCAGGGGCCGCCTTCCCTGTGCCTGGGCTCAGGCTCCAGGACCCCCAGATCTCACGGAGGGAAGGCACCTGTGTGGCCCCTGCTGGGCACAGGGATGGCCTGGAGAGGGCTACAAGGCCCTGGGTTGGACGGATAGGCCGGGCTTTCAGTGTGGGAAGTGCTTCTGGTTGGGGTGTGGAGCGTGGGGTGGTCTCTGGGTCTCAGCTGAAAACCAGGCCAAGGCACTGGTACCTCACCGAGGGGAAGGTGGGGGGAGAAGCAGGGTTGGGGAGAGAGGAGCTATTTTTAGGCACAAGTTTAAGGTGTCTGTGGATCCCACGTGGAGACACAGGCAGCTGGAGCTCAGCGGAGATGTGGGAGGCAGCCAGGAGTGTGGACCGCAAGGCGCCTGGGGCCCACGGCCTCCACTCCCAGGCCCTCACGTTGGCCTAGGGATCCCAGAGTCGGCTGTCTGGGATGCCAGTCCGATCAGCAGAGTCAGCCCACCTGGGATCATGGGGCCTGGAGACCTTCTTGGGACAGGGTGAGCTGCTGGAGCGCGCTCCTTGGGGAGCTTGTGTGGCCCCAGCAGCGAGA